AAAAATGAGTCAAGAAGTGGTTTAAAGTTCTATTTAAGGTGGGAATCATTACTAGTCCTCTAGGATAGTCAATAGAAAAGTTTTAAGGCTAGATCTTAGGCTCTAGAAGAAAGAAACTAAGACCTGACTAAAAATGAGGTCAACAACGCTATATATGTATATAATATTGAATTGAATGTGATGAACACATAAATGATATGTTTATATTGATTGTGTGTAATGCATTATTGATTATGATGGAGTCACCCCTTTATGGTACTAGCGGGGAAACATTAAGATATTGTACACGTAAGTGAAAAAAATATTAATATTGAAGTACCTTAATTTGTATAATTTTTAAACGGTGCTCCTGTGACGGCTGTACAAATATAGAATGATATAGATATGCTATTGATATGCTAAGATTCATTGAATAACATCATATTTTTAAGATATCAGTGTTTATATTGATTAATTAAAAGCTTAACTGACATGCATATTGCTTTCTTTTCTCTTGTATTATCATAGTTTAGGAGTGTAAGTATTCGCTGGCTTGGTCAACTTATATTTATCATATTTTTAAGATATAAAATGTTTATATTGATTTATTAAAAACTTAACTGACATGCATATTGCTTTATTATCTCTGGTATTATTATAGTTTAGAAGTGTAAGTATTCACTGACTTGATTAATTTATATTTATTTTAAACTAACTTTTTAGGTATAATTATTTTATTAAAATATGTGCAATCAAAGAGAATATTTATAGAAGGCGCGAACAATCTGTAATGAAGTAAATTTGATTATACTATTTTAATTTAATTTGATTAGTGACTCTTGTCATTTGTTTATATCTAATTCCCACTGTCCGATTGTCTATTCATGTCTTGGTTAATTCTAAGCTCTGGGTTAGGTCATGACAAAAATGGTATCAGAATCGGGTTTCGGTGCAGAGCGGCTGGGAGTCGAGCGAGAGAGGTGAGGGAGTTCGGACGAGGGGGAGATACAAGCCGGAGGAGAGCCGAGCGGGACAAGCAAAACAGGCGAGTGGGAGAGCAAGGCGAGGGCTTCGGGGCGAGCGGGAGAGGGTGCCGAGTGGGAGCCTTGGTGCGAGAGGAAGGGAGGCGGAACGTCTCTGTGAAGAAGAATCGGGGGAGAGGGAGAGGCGAGGCGAACGGGGTTTGGTCGAAAGAGGAAGAAGCCAACCGAATGCCAGGGTGGAGGCCAGCCGAGTTTGGAAGTGTAGTTTACTCATATTATGATAAAAAATGATGAATTACAAACTACTATAAATGTGACACGAATGTCTTGACCCAGATGATAGCGGCGATGACTCAACTGATTCAGGATTCCAGATCGCGGTCTATTGAAACTGATGCAGTCACTGTTAGGGCTGTCAAAACGGCTCATTGTTCACAAATAGCTCGTGTTCGGCTCGTGAAGAAGCCCGTGTTCGATTTATTCAACAAGCAAATGAGTCGAACACAAAAATTTTTTTTTGTGCTCGATATATAAATGAGCCGAACACAAACAAAATTTTGTTCGTTTGTGTTCGGCTCATTTTGGCTCGAAATAATTAAATTATATATATAAGCCTGTCTCGGCCTATTGGTTGGCATCCACGGTATGAGTCCTATCTGATTATGGATTTGAATCTCCTCTGACACAGTTGGCCTTAAGGAGGTGGTACTCGAATTATTAGGCGCGGCAGGAGGCTTGTATAATAACCTCTGGCCATTCCTTTTGAAAATAAATTTATAATTTAATTGACTATAAGGCTACATAGATTTATAATCAACTAAAATTACTATTTAAAATAATAATAATAATAATGTATTAAATTTTATTTAAATGAATATTTTAATATAAATAATAAGATTTAAATCTCGCCCTACCCTTAACATCCTACGATTGTGTACTGAGTTGTCAAAATGGCTCATTGTTCATGAACAACTCGTGTTCGGCTTGATTATCAAATGAGTCAAACATGAACAATTTTTTTTTAATTTGATACATAACCGAGCCGAACATGAACACTGACATTTTTAAAAAAGTTGACCATTGGTTTGCTCAAGCTCGGCACGTTTACACCTCTAACTGTTGCATGCGTGATTAGGGTTGTCAGAACGACCCTTTGTTCGCGAACAACTCACGTTCGACTTGCTACACAAACAAGCAGAACACAAAGTTTTTTATGTTCAAAATACAAACGAGCCGAAAACTAGCTGAGCTCAGGCTCGCTCTTGTTCGGCCCGTTTACACTCCTAGTCACTGTGGAAAAGTACTTGAAGATATTTTAAGATTTTGTCCACCGTTTTTAATGGAACTGAAGATTTGATGAAGTGAAGAATTGACAGATGTGAATTGAAGTTATATTAGATAATATGGCATGTCCGAATGAAGAAGAGTGTCATTAGCTACATTTGTGCTAGATGGAGAAGCCGAAATGTAGTGGTGTGGGTAGCGTCTGGACAAGCTAGGGGACATAGCCAATATGATGAGCAGTTGGAGGAGTTTGTGGAGTTATTCAGAGAATGGTTTGTACCCCTATCTACTCGAAGACAGATACATTACAAGTTCATCAGCTGGTGCAGTGAGAGAAAATAGTCTTACAGTACAAAACAGAATTCATTATACTATCAAGGTATGTGCCACAAGTGATCGTCATTGCAAAAAAAAAGTGTTGTAGATTCCTTTCGAGATAAAATGATTCGATTAGATAGTCGTTGATATCTTTAAGAATCGATGAATAGTTGGTATTAGTGGAACGAGCTAGACGAGTTGAAATTATCAACTTACTCAGAAGCGTAACGAGATGCACAAGAGGAAAAATATTTATGAAGGAGACATGTGAATCAATTAGAGAGATTTAATGAAAAAAATCTAAGTACAATTCGGATGGATTTAACAGAGGCTTGACTCAGAGTAACGTTGTCACTTGAGATTGAAAAAAATCTAATGGAAAAAAAATCTAAGTCAGACCATGGCTTTATAGCAGCCTCTATACTTTAACAACTTAGTTTGAAAAAAAACGGTTTTCTACCACAGAAATTTCTAAAAAGCAACTAGAAAGCATTCTCTCAAACAGAACTTTGGTGGCGATTTTAAAAACAAGGCGGATTAAAAACTGTCCCAAACAGACCCTTAAAAAGAATATATTTCTAAAATAAAAATAAAGAAACTTAAATAGCAAAAGAATAAACTAATCAAAGGTGTTTCCAAAGTTCTCCAATTAGATTCCCCAAGATCGATGAGGTGGTCGGCCGACCCGCCTTCCTAACTTTTCACAAGAATTGAGACAACTTCCATGAATTTTGTCATAGAAAATTTATATCAAATTAAAAAATTCTGTGAAAGGAGTAGGTAGAATTGGCTTCTCAAAGATCTTTTAAAGGTGAGTATTTAGAAGCTTTATACAATTGAGCAAAGTGAGTCTATACATAGTTGTATGAAGTCAAAACTATCTCAACTGGAAATTGATTATGGTTAGGCCGATTAATAGTCGCCTCAAGCTTTTGTGGACAAGCTTCCACTTATGCAGTAGAGATTACGGAACCCATTAATATAAATTGGAGTTGAACGGAAGTTTACTTATTCAAATATACTCTGCAGTGATTCCAATAAAATTTGAATGCACCATAGATCTTCATGATTTATGTTGGAGCAATTTCTCGCTGCATGATTTTTATCTATTGCGTTGGCTTGTTACCTTCCTTTCATCAATGACATTATTTGTTATGTTTATGACTGATATAGAATTAGTCGCTTAGCATTTTTAAATTAATGCAGATATAAGAACTTGAGATCTGTCTTGCATTCTATGATGATGTCTTTTGTATGATGCAAATCTTGTGTTTCTTTTCGCAAAATATCAATTAAAAGTACATTAGGGATAACTTCTTTACGCTTCTTAGTTTATAGATCATTGACATAGATATTTTATTACAACTTATTTGTCGCTTCTGAAAAATTTGTGTGTTCAGAATATGCTTTTCACGACCATATCTGCTAGTCTGGCTATTGCAAGCAGTCGGATGTTTTCATGTGGGAAAATGTCTATAATACCACCAACAATTTTCAAGAGCTTTTTTTCTTTTCAGAATAGTTTCTAAACAAATTTTATGGACAGATGTACTTGGCCCAAATGGGAAATTAAGCATATGCAAATAAAAATAGGAAGTTTAAAGGTGTATTTGAAATGAAGAATTGTGGTTCGAAAATAACAAAAAAAATTTGGTGTTGGTATTCTTTAAAGGTGTCACATCGGGTTCGCTGGTTGGATTTGACAGTCAGGTTCGAGTTGTATAACACGCTTAACATAATATATGACAACTATTATGGTCAATTTTTTATCAATTTCGAGTCAACCTCAGGTCAATTTCTAGTTGACATGTCGATTTCAAGCCAATTTTGGGTTAGCAGCTCAGCTTCAAGTTGGTGGATCAACCCAAACCCGAACCTTCCCCGAAAATTATTTGGGTTAAGCCGAACCCAGATTTTCTAAGTCGAGTTAGCATGTCGGATCAATTTTTGACACGTTTTTTGGTTGGCATAAATACCATGGTGTACCTCGGTGACTTGTTCTCATCACCCTAGTATTCACCACACTGGGCTTGTGGAATTGTGCTTTGTACATTGAAATATATTTGCCTAGTGTTTCATGCTACAATTCTGGCTGATGAAGTAAATCAAATTCAGAAACTGGCTTCTGAATTACACAATCTATGTCACCTACATCTAACTAGTTATTGTCCCAGAGCCGAGCAAAGTACTGCAATAGTGCTGTACCTTAGAAATGAATAATGAATGATTTTCTTAAACAGGTCAAGGGTGAAGCGACTGAAAGGGAGCAGCACTTGCATCGTAAGATTGCAGAGCTTGAAGCCAGGTATGTTAATAAAATAGTCATTGGTTCAGTTTTGATTTCTAATGATGACAATAGTAGAGTGAGACACAGAACCAACTGTTTATGGGGAAAAAAAGCATGAAGTCGTCAATTGCAGTCAAGACATCAATCCTAACTATACAAATAAAATTTTCTGGTATTGTTTTCCCAAAATTGGGGTTAAATGAATCTGAAGCATGATAATGTCCCCAACTATAAAAATTGGATTTAGGCTCATTTGGCAATGATTTTGGTTAATTGATTTCGTTTTAAAACCACCAAATGAATTTTTTTTATGAATTTACTGAAAGTTGTCAACTGTTCTGTAGGAAAGTTTTACCAATGCTAAAAAATAGGGACTATGAAAAAGTTAAGCAAATATGCTTTTTAAAAAAATCTTTTTATTTGAATAAAGGCTAGCTTATGAAGAAAAATGTTGCCCTAATTTGTTTTGATATTATCATAAAAAATCAATAGTTACGTATATTATTTTTAAGTATCATGCTAAATTCTTTTGATAGAAGGTCCTCAAGTTTTTTCCTTTATTAAAGAATTATTGTTTTTGTTGTTGTTATTATTATTATTATTTTATATTTTTAACGAGAAATTTAACTTTTATTTTATTCATAAATACATAATTTTTAAAATTTAATTTCATTAATTATTTTAAGTTAAATATAGTTGATATTTATTTTTTCATGACTATTTTATCTTTTAAACAGTTTACATCACAACTGTTATTGCTAGATAACTTTATCCATCACAATAATGACATCCATGTTTCAAATGCCAACACAATCAAACACAAAAATAACATCAAAGCACATACATAAGTTCACATTTTGAAGCCACCAATCTTGCCCTTTCACAGCTTGACCAATACCCTCCGCGCTGTTGTTGTGTAGCCTCGTGAACTTATCGAGTGTGATTGGTTTATTAATATGAGTGCATCGGTTCAACCCTTTGTAACTGTATGATTTGTTGCAGATTTTCTCAATTCTGATGTAGAATCTGAACTTTACGGATCATACAATTAATATTTGATGAAAAAGTTTTAATTTCTATTTTCCAGCGAGTTTCGTTTTAATTTCTAGTTATGTCTTCTCTATAAGGGGACTTTTATAAATAACATTCTAAACCCTCACATTTCCTTATAAGAGCTCTCCGTTTGGTACAATGTGGAGTGTGAGATGCCAACATAAACTGATCTCTAATTCAGCCTTGTTAATGATTGTATTTGTAATTCATCAAGCATGTCCATTTCTCTTGACAGGATGATCAGCCTAATTGGAGAGATGACTGAAACAAGGTTAAAGCAGATTCAAGTACGCTTTCTTTAACAACCATTAATTCTGATTCCCGTTTCATCTTCTTGATTGGAAGTTTGTAGGCATATTACTACTGACATCCAGCCTAAATTTCAAGTCTGTTACTTTAAATACGTTTTTTAGTTGAGATTTTCACCTCTACCAAGTTTGTAATTTGTGTCAATAATTATTTTTATTCGCTTGACGGTGCGACAGTTTGTTTGGTGAGGTGTTTGTTTGGCTGTTTAGTTCGTCCGGACATTGACAATTGGTAGCATATTAAGGTTTGTTTTGGGATCTTTTTTTATTTTTTGTTTTTTTTTTTATTTTAAAAAATTTTTGTACCTGTTTTTATTTAAAAAAATAAATTAACTTATTTTTAAAATACTTAAAGCATCTAAAAATTATTGTTAATATTTAAATACAACTAAAGATATTATAACATATCAAACATATTTTATTTCACTTTAAAGCATACAAAGCTAAATATAAATAAAAACAAATATATCAAAATCAAAAGTGATCCCAAAAATATTTTGAGAGTTTGAGGATGTGTCTGCCGCAGCCATGTGGTGTCGGTACAGTGTCGCACCGTACTTTGTGGCATTTGACAAAATTATGTTGTCTACTTTTCAAAAAGTTGTGGTAAGCTGCATTTTGCAACCTGATCTGGCTAAGTGCAGTGGTTAGATAATTGTGGTCTAACTTTTGAAGAAAAAAAAATTAATAGCACTCGCAGTTTTTTTAACAGCATTTTTTTCTGCAATAGCTATATAGCTGTTTCTATAAACAGTTGCAGTTGCCCCAAACTAGCTCTAAGACTCATTCTAATTATATTTTAATCAGAATATCCTAGTACAACACGACAACCATATCTTTTTCTTCTTAATCATCATCATTTATTCTCCTATCTTTAGTTTTGATGTTTGCAATCTCTATTATAAGGCCATTTAAAACTACTTGCGCTCGCAATTTATAAACGCCAACTGACATTTTCGTTCTCCTTCTCTTTATTTGTAGCTGCAACAACAGTTAAAACATCTTTATTCTCAAGAAGACCAAATAGAAGATATGCCGAAAAGGCCTGATCTCCCAGTAGTCCTCTGACGTTGTGCATACACTACCAATACAAATACAATACCTGCGATGAGGTAACAACCTAATCACAAATGTTGCCTTTGTTTAGCTTCTTCAGATCCTCTGTAGTTTTCATCATAATTATAGAAGTAGAGTTATCAATTATCAGCCTCCCTTTTACTACAACTATTTTTTAATCTTTCTTAATTTGTAAAAAAATTCTTCATAGTAAGTCTCAGCCACCTAAATATGATGGATTATATGGTTGAATTTTTAAACATTGCCTCACCAATTGCTATCACAAACGGAGAGATTCGGATACTTTGTGTAAAGATTTATGATGAGTAGCTAAAGGTCTCTCATGCTGTAAAATAGCCCTTTTTTAATATATATTTTAGTCTTGTGTTTGTGTACATTGTATATAAACAGGCACAATTGGAATGGGGATTACTTCTTATCATGCTTTTCGAACATAATATTGAGGCCGTTTTAATCTTAAAGTTTATAGAAGTGTTAAAATAATCATCGATTATTTTTAAATTGAGGTCTAATGTAACTTCATAGGGATTATGTCAGCCTCAATTTAAAAAGTAGGCAGATTAGTTTGACATTTCTATAAATTTGAGGACGGCTCATGTAAATAGTCTACGATTATTTTAGCACTTTACTCTAAAGTTGTGGTATTTATTTTCATGGTTAGCATGGCAAATTAAAGAAGAATTATTTTGTGGTCCTTGAGTATCTTCTTTTTTGTATAGACATATTTTTAATGTAATGCCTTTTAGCCACTTAAAAGTCTAGGAATTTTTTAATTTTGAATGATTAACATACATGCCACTCAATTCCTATGTATTTGCGTATCTAACACCTGAACTTCAATTTTTACATGCATGTCATCTTTACCAAACTAGGTAATGTTGTCAATGGGTTGTAGGAAGTTTGAATGGCCAAACAGTTGGTCTGGCTCATGGCAGGTGTGTGATGCAGTATGACTATTTGTGGAATGCATAAAATTTTATTTATTAAAAATTAAAATTATTTTAAAAAAAAAAATTGTGCTAAAATCATAACACATTGGTTGAAATAAAATGAAGAATTGTAAAGTGCCAAAAAAAAATCAATAAATATTCAATATACAATCTAAATTAAATCTCTCAAATAATTATATTTTGTGTGCATCAATGCATATTGCTGGGAAATAAAATGAAGAATTTCAATGCATCTCAGTGCTCACCCTTTCAAAAAAAAAGTAAGAAATCATGTTTTATTTATTTTATACTTGTTGTGATTCTTCAATTGATACAATTGATGGCAAAATAAAAATAGAAAAAATAAAGTGTGTACAGCCATATGCATTAATTATAAGTTTTAAGTCTTTTATTTTTATTTAAATTAAAACATTCAGGAAGGTATTAATGATGTATATATATATATATATATATATATATATAAATGAATGGTGGGAGGTTATTATATGAGAACCACCCTCACTACTGGCAAATTGGTCAGAGGGGAGTCGAACTCGTGACGTGAGAGGACTTGCGATCTTGAAAGAGACTGATCTACCAAAAGGCCATAGTTGGCGGCACTAATGAAATATATATATATATATTATATATATATATCTATATATATATGTATGTATGTATGTATGTATGTATGTATATGTATATGTGTGTGTTGAGGGTGTGCAATTGGGCATCTTAGAATTTGAGAATTTTCTATAAAAGTAATTTTTTTTTTAATGTACTATAAACAACTTGGTAATTTTACCAAATACTTTAAAATAAATTAATATTTTGTGATTTTGCCTACATTAAAAATAAAGCTGATTCAGCCACACACACATACACACACCTATTCGAGGTTTTGAAACTAGAAAAAATATTAGATCAGTGTTACGCATGTAAAAATAACGTGTAGTCAATCAAATCACGCCACGACATCTCGCGCGACAGAGCAAAAAAAAAGGCGCAGTAACACGGGGAATATTCCCTCCTGTATTATTCATGTGTTTTTGTGTGTTATTCATATGTTATTGATGTGTTATTGCACCAAGAATATTCTCAA